TCTCTCTCTCTCTCTTCTCTCTCTCTCTCTCTCTCTCTCTCTCTCCCTCTCTCCCTCCTTCTCTCCCTCCCTCTCTCTCTTTTTCTGCGAGTCTCTCCTTCTGTAAATTTGGTATCGTAGTGCCGTCGCAAGGCAACGTATAATGTTTTTGATTAGTAAGTGTGTAAAAAGGTGTTGTAATAGGTGCGCAAGTCAAACGATCGGTATCTCGAAATCACAGCCGGAACTTTAGATTCGAAGGGGGAGAGAGAGGGAGACAGGGGAGACAGGTGGCACCCGTTCGTTATCTATGTTTGAGAATCGATGGCTTTAATTGCTTTTGTCGTCCGACACTTTTCAAGCTCCCTCGGCATTGTGACGTGCAGGTACCGTCGAGCCGCACGCTTCACGAGCGACAAAATACACAAAACACCTCATTTTACCGTGCACCTTCGCTCAAGCGAGATGGAGGAGGAAATAAAGATGAAACACAAAAGCGATATATCGATAAAGAGAAAGGCACTGTAGCGTCCGTGAATAATCTTAATTCAATTTCGAGTTATTCGATCGGTCGTTTCCCTTTTCTCCGCTTTCTCTCTCTCTCTCTCAACGTGCAAAAATAACACAGAGTGTTATTGTACGGCAACAATACCGAGGGAGCAACTAATAACACACAGCGTTGCGCACGTGCGTCGATTTGTGTTGGAATGAAGTGAGAAAGAGAGTGTAAAGTCTGCTAACAACGCTGACAAGAAATAAGTTGGGCAAATATCGGTGCGATCCTCAAACACGGGCGGTCGCTTTGAAGATGCCGTGCTGTGCCGTTAGACACCTCTTGCCTCGGTTCTCGCTCTTGCTTCTTCTTTTTTTTTTCTTCTTTTTTTCTATATTTATATCCTATCCGCGCGCGCGCGCGCGCGCGAGCGAGCAAAAGACACGCGTCAATTCAGACCGTGCCTCATCGATTCTGCGAATAACATCGGCCGCGCGCCATGTGACTCCGTCGGGATCGAATAAGATTTGCATTCTACGTCACGTATCGTTTATGAATGTCACAGAGCAGACCGTATCGCCGAAAGTCGTCCTTGAGGGCAAATTCTATTTTTAAAAATTTATTCACACTTCCTCATACAAAAGTACGCTCGTATAAAGGAACTCGTTATTTCACAATGATGGCGTCCTATAAGTCGTCCTCGTCGTCAAATCATTCTCCCCAAACTTCTAGATTTGTACTTGAAGAATGTTTCGAAGAAATCGAAATACGCTTTCGCCGATATAATCACAAATATATACGTATATTCGGTGTAACGGTTCCTACCGTCTTGCGAGAGAACAATCGGACGTCTTTTAACATCGTTATGATTAATTCACTATTGGACGCATTGTCTGCACCGTGTCTGCATCGATAGAAAGGAAGAAAGGAAGAAAGGAAGAATATGAGGAAGAAATTGAATTCCAAATTTCGCTTCTCCGAGCGACGGCACCCTCTTTATCGCGAGATGAAGATCTTCACGGCGACAGATCCCTCGGACCTCTCGACCGTGTCGTTCGCGTCGCGTAGCCAAAGGACGGCTATGAAACTGTAAAAGAGCGAGAGGCAAGTACATTAGCAAGTCGCTACGTCGGCAAGCGCTGTTTGCATTATGAGCCGAACTGTACTTTTACGCAGCGAGATACCACGAAACAATGCAAGACACGCGTGCAAATATGGGCGCGCACCTCAAATGGGACATTCCGATGTTTCTCGGTATTGCTGCCACCAAAGATGGCAGGGCCCGGCTAACGATCGACGACGCCGTCGACCGAACATGTGTCATATAACGCTTGCTTCGTCTTCGATGACACTCGGTCGCTCTTAACGAGCTCGCTCTCGGATGACCGTCATCGGCAAGAAAAAAAAGTATCAAACAGATTGAAAGAAAAAATAACGAGCTCTCGGGGAAGCGCTTGGAGAAGTTTAAACATACATCAATACGCTGACTATATGATATTTTGCAGACATCAATTCCCTCCGTGACAACCCGCAAACATGTTTTCTACATGACGGTCGTCCGTGATGGGTTGACTCGCTCTTTTTGCGAATATGAGGAGGAAAGCTGCTCGTTTGCACTCTCAATCTTATCAGTCTCTCGAAGAGCAATCTTGTCGGGTCACGTGGGTGGTGCGAGTTTTCCAAAATTACTGCCCTCCCGATAGACGCACACTCGTGCGATTGGCTCCTCCCTGATGATGATGAATCTACCAAGAGTCACGTGTGATGAGATATTGTCTAAGTTTACTTATCAACGGACAAGAAGCTGACCTTATCTTTACGTTGACCTCTACCGACGTATCTGTTAAAAAGTTGATCCTTAGCGTCCCTTGACTAATCATCATCTTGAATAATCAACGAGGAAAGTCATTAAAGAGAAGAATCCCTTATCGCCGAAATCACAAGAGCCTAAAGATAAGATCCATGGCGACAATCCCTTTGGGACACAGCAGTTTCCACCTAGCCTAGGTAGCTGCTGAAGAAAAACAATCCGACCCTTATTTTACAGATCCGAGGCAATGGTCGGAAGCAGCTGTCGCTCACTGGTTACACTGGGCCATCGGAGAATTCTCCTTGGAGGGTGTAGCCGTGCAGCCGTGGCAGCACATGACGGGCAAGCAGATTTGTGCCATGGGGAAGGAGTCCTTTCTAGCACGTGCCCCCGCCTTCATGGGCGACATCCTGTGGGAGCATCTCGAGATCCTGCAGAAAGGTACGTGGTCCTCTTGCGCACAAATTAGCGGGTCACGCTCGCTTTTCCGCCCGACGGGACACCCAGCGAGTCTGTCCTGAGACTGAAGCTAAGAAGAGCACTGTACCGTCCGTGAACAATCTTCATTTAATTTCGAGTTATTCGATCGGTCGTCCAGCCGTTTCCCTTTTCTCCGCCGTGTCTCTCTCTCTCTCTCTCTCTCTCTCTCTCTCTCTCTCTCTCTCTCTCTCTCTCTCTCTCTCTCTCTCTCTCTCGCTTCTCTCTCTCTCTCTCTCTCTCTCTCTCTCGCTTTCGCTCTCTTTCTTTCAACGTGCAAAAATAACACAAAGTTTTTCTATTGTTGTAAGTTGTTATTGCACGGCAACAATATCGAGGGAAACAGCTGATGATAACGCACAGCGTTGCGCATCCTGCATCGATCTTCTTGCGTGTTGAGCCTTCGGAAATTTTAGCCGTCGTGCGTTTAGGCGTCACGAGCGCGCGTGATTTTTTCGTCGAGAGACCGTCCGCGTCGGTTCCTACGGTCTCTCGTCTCCCGAGGAGAATTCCAGAAAGTTTGGCGAAAGCTCTCGAGATCGTTCATTCTACCTGTCTTCACCTTAATCGCCACGCTCGATGCTTGCCGAAGAGCCCGCGTTGCGAGTGCGGGCTTGAACGGTACCTGCGAGAAGCATCGCGCGCGCGCGCGCGCGCGCTGCGCTCTTCTTGCACGGGCGGCGGCCACCTTCCGTCGTGGTGGCTCGACAAAACCGATCGAATTTCCGTAAAATCGCGATGTCTCGGTGGCGCAGCGCGGCCAGAAAGGAGACCCCGCTGAACAATGCCGCGAGCGACTGGGCGGTGCGCGCGGGTGGCGATCTCGCGTCTCTCTCCTCCACCCTCGCGCGCCCTCCGTCGTATCTCCCGTTTCGTAGCGCTGAAACGAGGCTCCCCCCCGAGCCTCGTTTTTACCGGGTACACACACCCGGGTGTGTGTACCGGCGAAGAGAATGAAGCGGCAGTGGCGAGGAGGGGGCGAGGGAGGGCGGGAGAAGAAAGACAGAGAGCGCGCCATAGAAACTCTCATCCCGGATATCCTGCGCCGCCGAAAACGCTGCAGCGCGCCGTTGGCCACTTAGGAGAGCTCTTTCTCTCTCTCTCTCTCTCTCTCTCTCTCTCTCTCTCTCTCTCTCTCTCTCTCTCTCTCTCTCTTCGGGAGCTACGCATTACTCGCGTGCACCAAAGAATTCACTCGAATTTCGATCTCGCGACGTGGCCCGTCAATGGCCGCAGCTCTCTCGTTTTCGGGGTCCCTCTTATTAGATCGTTCGTGTGCTCCTTTATGGGCCGCGCTCTGAAAGCGGCAAGTCAAGTTTACGGTCGCGCTGCGAACGCGCGCAGCGCACGATCGGCCCCGCGTCGCCGACAATGCCGGCAGAAACTCCGGGGGGAAAATATTTGTGCGTCTTACGATCTCGATCCTCCGTGGCGGGCGGGGTCTGCTCGAGTCTTAGCTCACAGGCTGGATTAGCGCTACCGCTTTGGAGAACGGTCTCGACACTGGTAGACGCAACATTAAGACAGAAGATAGAAGAGCGGTGTGTACTTCCTGCGCAATCGGATTATCGGCGGTAACGCGGAGATAACGATAATTTTATCTTTAATGATACAAGACACATGCGGAGCAATTACAGCTGAGGAGGAGGGGGAAGATAAAACGAAAGATAGACACGTGAAGTACTGAAGGATCGCGGTGGTTGACGGAAAGGAGACAGGAGAGGCTGGGAGAGGAGCGAGAGAAAGAGGAACATAGACGTGAGGAGAGAGGAGGAGGAGGAGGAGGAGGAGAGCTGAGGAATACGGGTGTAGATCGTACGAAATAACGTGCGGCAGGAAGCGGAGGTCCGCTTCGTGATTTAATTCCCGTTAAGCGAAACTCCCGTGCTTCCTTATCGATTATTCATGTCGCCTCATCATCGGCGAAAACCATCGACTTAATCGACTAGCGCGATCTCAGACGAGCGGTTAACGGTAACTCTCCGCACAAAACCCGAGATTCGTCTCGAATACGTAATCCCTCTCCTCGTGCCGAAAGGGAGCGTGATACGAGCGCCGCCGCGCCGGCGGCGGCGAGTTGTCCTTGACGTTAAGCTCGACGATCGACGCAACTGCGTCGTGCGCCAATAAAAAATAATTTGTATCTCATATCTCATATCTCGTGTCTCAGCCAGAGAGCTCCACATCTGTCGTTTGATAAAATATAAATTACAAATCGGCGGTGACACGCGAGGTACTTCGTATCCCGAACAGACGCTCGAAAATCGCTTCTCTCGCCGAGAAACAAAGAAAATAACACGTGCTTTGCAATTTTGTGTGATTTCGTAGAGGAATCGTCCGTTTACCGTTTCACCGCGCCGCGATTAACGTCGCGTCCCGTGCGTTCGCGTATCAAGAAAAGAGAGAAAAGAAAAAAAAAAAAAAGAACAAGGGCGCAGGCATTTTCGTAATTACAGTGGGAGCGACGAGGCAAGAGCGGGATAAAAGCGCCGCGTTGCCTTCCACATTCCGAGCCGCGCGCAATTTATTATTGTGCTACGAATTGTGAACGATGTAGTTGGCCGCCGCGTGATCTCTGACCGAGGCGACGGTAATTTAAGTGAGGCCTAGCGTGCTCGTACGCGCGTTCGTTCGTTCGTTCGTTCGTTCGCTCGTTCGTTCGTTCGTTCGTTCGTTCGTTCGTTCGTTCGTTCGTTCGTTCGCCCGCTCGCTCGCTCGCTCGCCCGCTCGCTCGCTCGCTCACAGTCGCGACACGACGTGGGTAATCGCTTTGATTCCGCGAATGAGAACGGAAGTTAGGAAACGCTCTTGCGTTGTAAAAAAGTAGAAACTAAAAAGTTGTATCTTCCTGTCGCGGTGATACCGATCGGATTCGCGGCGAAATTCATTAATGCACGCCGTTTCACAAGCGTCGACGAGCCAAACGAGCGTCGACGCTTGTGTTTTGTCTTTCTTTCTCTTTTTTTTTCTCTTCTCTTACGCGTTCGCGAATTACCCGACGACACGAAGCACGCCTCGCGTACGATGTCAACAAAGACGACGACGACGACCGGCGGAATCCTCTCGTTGCTCGATGTCACTTTGCGATAAAACTTGCGCACCGCGCGCACCGCAATAACTTCACAATGTGCCGGAGACTCGAGCGCAGAGAGACGAGGGGGAAAATCAGCGGCCGCTGACGGGGCACGGAGGAAGTGCGGCACAGTTTTATTTGCATGTAAAAGCGAAGCATAACAAAGTGCGAGGGAGGTGGGGAAATGAAAAAAGAAAAACGCCCTGGGAATTTTTGCGGGGCGCTTTGCATTTTCAGTCCGCGCACAATTGTATGCGTGCCGCGCGCGAGAATTCCTAGAAACGCAGAAACACACCGCGGCGATGAATCACGGCGATGGTAAAACGTCTCCTTCGCAATATGGTCGCGATGATGATAGTGCTCTAGACTGCGCGAGATCGTTAATCACGATTACACTTGGCGATGCGCGCAACGATCGCGGCTGCGGGGAATAACACGATGACAAGAATGCACATTTTTATTTCCGACATAATTAACCAGAAAATTAGCACACCGACCAAGCACGCCATTGCGATAACGCATTTATCACACGCGGAGATAAGACTTAATTATTACGATTGAAAGTAGCAGTCCTGCTCGCTTTTTGCTTTCCTTTTTTTCTACGTCGTCCGCAACAACGTCCTCATCTAGCTAACTGTAGTCTAGTTATAATTTCTAAAGAACTCTACAAAAATACATGTATCTTTGCAGCAGACGTAATTATTTCTTTCCATTGGCAATCTTTCCGTGCGTCTCTATTCTCTCTCTCTCTCTCTCTCTCTCTCTCTCTCTCTCTCTCTCTCTCTTCCTTTCTTTTCTCCACTTCCCCACCACCTCTCGTATCATCTTTTCTCTAATTCCGTAATTCCCTTTCCTCTAATCTCTTGGTGCCTTTTGTTTTCTCGCATTCTTTTCTTATGTTTCTACTCTACTTCCCTCCCTTCATTTTTTCCATCCATACTTTCCATACGTCTCTTTATTATTCACTTTTTTCTAACTTCTCGTTATCCAAATTACTTAACCGTCTTAACTGTCAGAGTACACAATTTTCGCTATGAAGCAAGCCGCGTATGATAAAATGGAATCGCAAATGATACATATAAGCCATGAAAGTAACAAGTAATATAAAATTCCGATCGATTAAATTCTTACGCAACCGATAATGTCAACCAACGAATCTGATCATTTTTTTTATCTCTCTCTCAAACTTCTTCTTCGGCTGTGGTTTCAGCTGTAAAAGGTCATTTTTAGGCGTCGAGGCGGGACGTCTCGACTCGCTCGAACAGTGTAATTTTAAACGGGACGTCTCCGATAAGTTCGATAGGGTAACACGGAAAACACGAAGCGAGTGCGCGCGCATCCTCGAACGCATGCGAAACAGGAGCGACCCGTCGTTGAGGATTTATTCCGTTTTACATTTAGATGTCGACGCAGCGAAGGCCTCTCTGGAGAACGTGCCGGCGAACTTGTATGAAAGCGTATGCGTGCCAGATTTAGGTGATTTTTTGGGATACCAGGGCGGCCATCAGGTGGCAGCATCGGAACATAAAAACCCACCGACGCCCGCCGGTTCCACCGCCTCGAACAACTCCTCCGGTCCTCCTCAGAGCGCTACGCAACAACCCCCGATACAACAACCCTCTTCGGGCGCGGTGTCCCTGCCGTCGTCGAGACAGTATCATAACGATGGTAAGTTCATTTTTAGTTCCATTCCTCCGCTTCCGTCGGCCGAGGGATTATTCGCGGGCTACAGGTGTAGGGGGTGCGTGCGTCCACCGGAAAATCTTCTCGGTTGGCTTCGATATCTCCTCGCGCCTCTCACCCTCCCCCGCCCCTCCTTCGGTCGACTTCGACCGAAGGAAATTACATTCTCGGGAGGAAATTCACCTCGAGAGCGACGAAACGAGATGTGCATCTCTGGATCTCTGATTAGCTTCTTAAATCTGATGCTTCTTTTCTCTGACGAGAAAAGAGAAAAGAGAAGAAAACAATTGCGCCGCGGCTGTGAAATTAAACAAACGTCCGTCGCGCAAAGACCACATGCGCAGCAAGGACAGATAAGCGACGAGCTTCTCTATTGCTTCCTCACCACCCTCCCCCCCCCCTCCCCCGGGGGCTCTTCCTTCTCGATACCGATAACTGTGCGCGTGCATACGCAAGGCGCTACTAAATTACGCGACACAAGCTGGTTTATTTATTTCCCCGATTGCAAGTACGAACGAAAGCGTTGCGACTCGGTGGAGGAGTTTCTCATTGTTACGTCAGGGTGGCTGATAACATCTCTCAGGTCGGCGTGTTTGCACGTGTTGCAAACACAAACCCCTCATTATCGTCACCGTTCGTTTCTCATTTAACGTTTCTTCGTCATCGTAGTACCGAGCGCGCACCGCGCCAGCGACAAGTCGCGATTTCACCGATGTGCCGCCTAGAAATCGAATCGTCAATTGTCCGGTCTCTCCTTCTCTCCCTACCCCTCCCACCCCTCTCTCCCCCTTCTCCCATTCTTTCTCTGTGTCGGGATTGCGATACAAATACAAAGGCAATGAAACGCTTCATCGGAGGGATGCTCTGACCCGGAGAAACCCGCTCGAGGAACACGACTTTCCGTCGGCACGTTCACTCGATGATAAGCCGCGAAACGGCTTACTAGCTAACATCAACATTAAAACTCGATATCAATTAGTAACGATACGTCATCATCGTTGCGCTGTATCGGCATTGTACATTGTACATTGTCGGTATTTTCGACATCGAGCGTTAAGTTCATTCGGCGCTGCTCCCCGGACCCGTCCGCCGGCTCTTTTGTTCACGAAAATATATCATTGAACCTGGGAAACTCGTTCTTTTATTTCTCAGCGGGCTCTCTCGGGCAAGCCCGCGGAACGCTCCGAGATATATCTCGGCGGCTCAGTGTATACCTTCGCACACACCGAGCCGAGTAACAAATGAACAAGCTATCCCACAACCATGTGTAATGGTTTGCAGATAACATCGGGAGTGACGCAAGTGCGCGGCACTCGCGGCGCGCGTTCAGACTCATTTTTCAACTCGATCCATTCAGAAAGTCCGTGCGATCGTTTCCACCGCGACTTGTCCGTCGCGGCGATTCATGAATCGCGCGGACGAGCCGAGTCCGAGTCGACGGAGGCGAGGGTGTCACGTGGCGGCCTGACGCGCGCATCGAAATTATCGATCGAACGTGTAATAATGAGAATGCACAGTTATAACGGAACTCATTAAAGCGCATGCATTAGCCAACGCGTGCTCCTCGTGCTAGAAATCGCGCCGCGCGCTGCTCGGCAAACGGAAACTCGTCTTTAATTCCTTTACGACGCGAGCGAGCGAGCGAGCGAGCGAGCCACCGCGAGTGAAAATATCAATGCTAATGCTGACGCAACGAGCGTGTAAAATTTCCCCCGTTGCGCCTCCTGTGACGTGCGAGAATTTTTGCACAATGCATTGCCGATGCATAACTGACCCAGTTTACGGTAGCCTCTAATGCCCGATCGTTTATCTGGCTTTGACCGATTTACTTTCGTCATATCATATGTGTTTATCTACTCCGCGAGATCTCTGTATGACGAATCGACTCTCCCCGGAGTTTGCGTTTTTCGCAATGTTTTACGCCGACGCGCCATTGTCAAATGCCGCGTGTAGATCGCTCTCCTCTCTCGCGTCTGGAGCGCCTCTGTTAACAATTAATATATTAGGGGGTTACCGGAGAAAGTCTTTTCGTTTCTGTCATAAAACTCTGCGTGCGACACAGTAATAAAGTTGGATCTTGGATCTTGGAATGAAAGAGTCGATATACACAATAAAGAAATTGGAATAATTTGGAATTAACTCGGAATTTAAATTAATTCTCGATTAAAATTAAGGAGCCGTACTGTAATTGGAAGGGAAATTGAAGACTTTAAAATAACGAAAACGGCCCTTCCTAAAACAATCAACATGCGAATCTCGATAGAGAAAAAAATGTCTCAGACCCAGTCATCTCGAGAGGCGACAATCGCGCGGAAACGGAAATACGATGAATTTACGATCGAGTACAACGACTCGTTCTCGTTTCTCGTCTCGCCGCGCGTGCCTCGCGGCATATCAATCTCGTGAAAAGAAAATGAAGAAAAAGAGAACAGTCGAGACAAAAGTCGAGTCTCTGCGGCCGCCGCGCCGCGAGCGAGGCTGAGGTTCCGCTCGCGGGCGCGAGCGCGCTCCCCACGAAGGGGGGAGGGAGATTATCCGATTATCGGGCCCCGCGGTATCGTTCCGTAATCCGTGCGCCGCCGCCGCCGCCGCCGCCGCCGCCGCCGTACACGCGTGCGTCGTGCAATCGAGTGCGTTGATGTCAGACTGGAGGCACGCGCAATAGAACGGGACGGAACAGAATAGAATGGAACGGAGCGGAGCGGAGCGGAGCGGAGCGAAGCGGAGAACATTATAAAGCGAGTCTTCGTAGCATAGGTAACAATTACCTAGCGAGGGGCCTTACGTCACCGCAGCAGTGACCGTGGGTGAACGAGGGAAAGTCTCTCGGGGCCCTCTACACGCTCCGCCGCGGACAATAGAGACGATTCGCCCGCGCCGGCTCACGCCGTTCGTGCGTCTACTTCGATATAGCGCGAGCGAGCGCGTACACGCACTCACGCACGTACGTATGAGTGCGTGCGTGTGCGGGTGTACGTTGTGTGCTAATGAATGCGCTCGCCGCGTATCCCTCGCCGATTTCGATCACTCTCGTCTCACTGCGCGGAGAATGGAATGAAACGAGCACCACGCCGCTGGAACCGACCGAAGCAATTAGCCAACGAGGAACCCTCCTTGCACAAACGGTATCTTACCCCTTTTCTCTTCATTTTCCCTCCGCCTTGGACTCATACTCGGAAGATAAATCCGTGCTCGCAGTTCTGCTCGCGCGATATACGAAGCCTGGGAGGAAGCTGAGAGGAAGCGGCCTCTCTTCGACTCTCTTCGAGCCGAAGCCAAGAGTGTGTGGAATTAGTCCGGAGAAAGGATGTGCGCGTAAACATGGCCGGCGCAACACACACACACACACACACGCGCGCGCGCGCGTAGCTGTGTTCTTCTTCAGACTTTTCCTTTTTTTGTTGTTTATCCGGCGGGAAGAGGCGGGACGTCCGCGGGTGAAGAAATTGCCGAGCGCCAAGTCGAAGTGTCGGGTACGGTGTCGAATGCGAATTCGAGAGGAGGCTTGACAACCGCTGACTGATATTCGCTCGTGCGACTCGGGTGTTCCCTGAGAAGAAGACGTTCGGCTCGAACCATACGTACGCGTCCAATGGACGCGTCGTTACACAGCGACCAACACAGACGGCCGTATAATAGACTCATTATTTCTGCTTGCTAAAGCACTGTTACGTTATGTATCACAGCTCTTCGAGGTCTCTGGTTCGACTCTCGCTTATCCTCGCTTTCGACCTCCTCGTGTCGGAACCGCGACGTACCGCGCGCTGTTATTTAGAATCTAGTCTGCCGCTCGTCATTTCCGTCTGCGTACCGTTGCAAAAATGAATCGACGTGTTGAATTTCGAATGCCTTTTTCCCGTCATCACGATGACCCCCCGACCCAGTCTTCTTGTAATTTCCTTCTGCACCACTCATATCGAAAAAAAAAAAACAACGAAAGAAAAAAGAAAGAAACGTATCGCGTCAAACTTCAGATGTGCTATACGACGGGTTTAGCGGTACGCGTCTAATTTGATTAATAATTAGTCCGCTTCACCTTAGGTCTGCGAACCCATTTGACTGATTTCGATTCACGTATCGCCTCGATGACGAGGCGTTTGAAAAATTTCCCTCAGACGACACACGGCCGTGGAGAACGAGGAGAAAAGCCCCCCGTCCTTTTTTAGAAAGATTTTCTGCGCGAGAAGAATTTCGAATGATCGACGCTTATCGGATTAACGATCGACAAGGCGTATGTACAAAGATAAAATAGCGAGAAGGGGAGAGAGAGAGAGAGAGAGAGAGAGAGAGAGAGAGAGAGAGCGCGACAGGTGAGGAAGGAGAGAAACAGTGCCGATCAGAATGCCCCGCGCGGCGTCCACTGCCGTCGCCGCCGCCGCCGCCGCCGCCGTCGGTTATATCTCGTCGCGTTATGACGACGCGAGGGTTGCTTAACAAATAATCATTGTATTCGCCGGCGGGCGATTGACTAACCTGTCCTTTTCCATAAACGCCATCAATCGCGTCACGGCCGGCGCTCCTTTTTTGGCCGTCGTGTCAGTAAACCACATCGGCATCGGCTTTTGCGCACGGCCGTCCCGATCCCGACCCTCTCCGTCCACCCGCTCCGTCTCCGCGCGGCTCGTTAATTTATGCATAATATGCACACGCGCACATGGGCCTCGCGCGAACGCGTGTTTGTGGATCCGTGCACGTGCGACGCGATACGTGACACGAAGCAGTGAGTGCGCGACAAGCCGCGCTTGTCTTCATGGACAGCACGCGCTACTATCGCGCGCCGGCCACACATTCTCGAAATCGTCCTAAACGGATTGCAAAAATCCGCCCGGCAGAACCGACCGCCGACTCTGCACGAGACAAAGTCACCTGTAATCGTTCATCTCAATTAGCTCGAACGCGCGGTCTCTCTCTCTCTCTCTCTCTCTCTCTCTCTCTCTCTCTCTCTCTCTCTCTTCGCTGGCATCCATCTCCTCCAAGTCCCGTTG